ACACAGACACACACCAGCCATCTGTAACAGAGAAGAATAAGCCCGACTCCATCTTGTATTTCTGTCTTTAAAAGATGGGGAATATTTCAACTATCCCTAAAGAAAGTCCTCTGGGGTGCATGTTGGATAAGTGGTCTGATTACAGCTATGAACCCACGAGTAAGAGGAAGATGATATTTTATTGTAACAGTGTGTGGCCACAGTACCTGTTAGGATCTAAGGAATGGTGGCCTTTGAATGGCTCTCTAAATTACAATACAATCCTGAAATTAGAGCTATTCTGTGAAGAAGCAGGGAAGAATGATAAAATCCCCTACATGCAAGCACTTGTGCTATTACATCAGGATGAGAAAAAGTCAGACAGTTGTCGCCTTACGGTATAAAGGCTTGAAAAGAAACCCGAGGCAAGAGCTGTCACACAGGAAGGAAAGGAAGGGAACAAGAATGAGGATACATTGCTCCAAACCTTAAACGCTCCTCTGGCTGAGCTGGGTCCCAGCCACTCCAGCCACTATGCCAGTACCTCCACCTCTTCCACTGCCTCCCATTCTTCTTGCTCCAGCCCCAGTTCCCAACCCTGGGGCTCAGGGAGTGGTCAGACTGGCTCCCTCTCCTTACAGGGATCACTTATTTTCCTGGGCCCAGGGACCTTATCTGGTATCACCATCTAAGACCCAACAGGGCACCCAATTTGGACTGGGAGCCATCCCAGAGCAGGGCAATTACCCCGTAGGGTGCATGAATGAAAATGGCCACCTGGCTGGGTTTCTGTGGATGCACAGTCCCTTGTCAACCTTGGACTTGTTTAATTGGACAATCCTCCTTATAGGGAGAATCCTTTCCGAATGACAGAACTGCTTGCTTCCATTTTTGCCACCCATCACCCTTCCTGGACAGACATACACATTCTTCTCAACATGATCCTTACAGGAGATGAAAGGAGAATGGTCACTGATAAGGCCAGGGAAGAAGCGTACCAGCTCCACCTAATGGGCCCAAATGGTACGCCCAAAGCCCACCTGGCAGCACCCACAGTTGAACCAAACTGGGATCCTCAGTGAGGCAGCAACGCCCTTTCCAGAGCACTGCCCTAAGTGCACCTTGGCAGGGCTTTGAAAAGGGTCCCAAAACAAAAAAGTCTGAAAATATTCAAGAAATTCAGCACAAATCAAATGAAGACCACTCTGAATTTTTGGAAAGGATTTATCAGACCTACAGACATTATACTGATGCCAATCCCAAGGGCCCTAAAAATACTAGAAAGGTAAACATGAACTTTATCGGGCAAAGTGCCCCAGGTATCAGGAGAAAGTTACAAAAATTAGATGGTGCGTTTGGAATGAATCTTTCTCAGTTGGTAGACTTTGCTTTTAAGGTATTCAACAGCAGAGAACACAAACAGAAAAAGAAGGCACGAGGTGAAATGTACTTTTCTAATTGTTGCATTGGATCCCTGGAAGACAGGAGGCTCTGAGAAAGATAAGCCAGCACTAGGTAAAGAACGATGCACTTATTGTAAAGAGAAAGGACACTGAGAGAGAGAATGCCTGCAATTAAAGAACAAGAGGGCTAAAGACGTGGAAGCAACGTACATGTCCAACAACAGATGAATAGATAAAGAAGATGTGGTATATATATATATATAATGGAATACTACTCAGCCCTAAAAAGAACCAAATAATACCATTTGCAGCAACATGGATGGAACTATAGATTATCATATGAAGTGAAGTAAGCCGGAGAAAGACAAATATCACGTGATATCATTTATTTGTGGAATCTCAAAAACAAGATACAAAATAACTTATTTACAAAACAGAAATAGACCCACAGACATAGAAAACAAATTTGTGGTTACTAAAGGGGAAAGGGGTGGGGGAGGGATAAATTAAGCGTTTGGGATTAACATATTCACACTACTATAAATAAAATAGATAAACAACAAGAACCTATTGTATAGCACAGGGAACTATACTCACTATTTTGTAATAACATATAAGGGAAAAGAATCTGAAAAAGAATAGATATAAATATATGTATAACTGAATCACTGTGTTGTATACCTGAAACTAACACAACGTTGTAAATCAACTATACTTCAATTAAAAAAAATTTTTTTTAAAAAGGAGGGCTAAAAAAGGAAAGGAGTGGGGCCTCTCAGATGTAGAGAGGGAAGAATGTTTAGATGATGAATGAAGAGACCCAGGGGCTCCTCTGGATTTATGACACTCAATTCAAGTATCCCCACAGGAGCCCCAGGTAAACCTGACAGTGGGAAGAAAACTGATTGACTTTCTGGTAGACACAGGGGCAACGCATTCCATGCTAAACACTAAGTTGGCACAGAGAACATCCCAGTCTACCCCAGTCACTGGGGTATCAGGGGAAGTACAGAGCTGACAATTTATTTCAAACCACTGGAGTGTCAATTAGGAGATCTGATATTAAAACGTAGTTTCTTGTACATGCCTGAATGCCCTATCCCCCACCTGGGCCAAGATTGCCTCTGTAAACTGAATGCTCAAGTGACTTTTTCACCAGGACAACTTGATATCAGAGTCCCACCAGAACATGCTTTAACACCTACAGAGGGCTCTCCTAGAAAATTCAGAAAAACAGACAGAACTTGATCCCCCTGAGGTCTACAGAAAGGTAAGATGAGAAGTGTGGGCTGACGGTGCCCCAGGAAAGGCAAATTATTCCTCAATTTGGATTGCCTAACACCAAAGTGACAATGGGCTTGCTTTTGTCTACAAGTATAACCCGACAGGTATCATATTGATTGGAAACTACTCATTTATCTTGGGATAAGGCCTTGCCAGTTGCCCTGCGACAGATTAGAGCGGCTCCCAGAAGCAAGCTTAAATTAAGCCCTTTTGAAATATTGGATGGTAGGCCATTATAGGTGTCTGTCCAGGCAGGAGAATCTGTAGCCAATAGGTCTGCAGACTTGGACTTGCAAGCCATCAGAAGATCTTAAGTCGCTGTTAAGATCCTACCAGCCTCCTACCAGATAAGTAACAATGACTTTACTCTGCCATTTCACTTGTACTTGTTGGAAAGGAAATGCTTTAATAAAGCTATCTGTGTGGCCAACAGGGGAAATATGCAAAGACAGCTCAGGGCAGAGCAGCCTAGGTGCCCTCATCCCACGTGCTGGAGTTTATATATATGTTCAAGTGCTTGTCTAAGTGTTGTGACAGGGCCATAAAAAGGGGGAGCAGTATCCTCATAATGCAAACTGCTTATACCCAGCCTAGGACTCGGGAATACTACCAGTTCCAAGTTGATAAATTCCATTCCACCATCACCCCCTCCTTGCCCCCGTTCAGCAGGAAGTAGCCAGAGTGGTCGTCGCCCCTTATCCTGCAAGATTGTGGAATGGACATTGACAGTAGGGAATTGTAACAGAGAAGAACAAGCCTGACTCCATGTTGGATCTATTCCTTTAGCTCTAACCTTTGTGCTCTGTTGCCTCTGCTTAGTCCTACTGGCTCTCCACCTTTGTAAAAGAATGTCATCTATAGCTTGAAATATTCCCGGGCTTGACCTTTAAAGGTATAACACTTTTCCATTCATATAGAGATAAAAAAGTTGCAGAACAGAAAATAACAATTGTCTTGTTGGAGGTTTACAGGAACATCGCAACCAGAACTATGTGGACAGCTGCAAGAACAAAGGATTCCAGCACCAAGAAGTTTGCAACAACCAGCCACACCCCCTCCCCTTTTAGTATACAAGAAGCCTGAATTCTAACTCAGATAAGAAGGTTCTTTGGGACACTAGTGGGCCATCTTCTCAGTCTGCTGGCTTTCCAAATAAAGTCACTATTCCTTGCCCCAACACCTTGTCTCTTGATTCAGTGGCCTGTCCTGCAGCAAGAAGTACAACAGGTAACAATCGTATTTCCTTCTAGCCAGAAGCCACCCCCACTGTCTTCCTGCTCCAGCTCAGCAAAGGAGACTGAGGCAGAGGTCTTGGGTCTTTGTGGGCTTCACGAGGGTCCTACAGCCAGATGGGGCCACCACAAGTCCAAGCTCGGCCACCTCCCAGCCATGCTGCCATGGGCTGCTGCTTCCCCCCTCTGAGCCTTGGTTTTCTCATTTGTAAAAAGGGGGCAGGGTTCTCAGATGATTCCCTGGCCCCTCTGAAGGCCTAGGTTCCCAGGGAATGCTCAGCCTGGCATCCCAGCCCATTCCATTGAGTTTCAATCTCCCCTGTCTGCCGGCCACGCCCAGTGAGGGAGGCATCTACCATGTAGGGTGTGGCCTGCCTGGGGGCCGGGAGCCACCTCCTGAGGAAAAAAGAATTCTAGGAGACCAGAGCCTGCCTGCCCTGATCCTTGTCTATGGGCGTGTGTGTGTGTGTGTGTGTGTGTGTGTGTGTGTGTGTGTGTGTAAGGGGACACTGCTTTAGCTACCAGCCCCCCACCACTCTTTTATGCTCCTAAAGCACCCCAGATACAAAAGTAATCAGAGTATCCTAATCATTATTATTTTCTCCTTTGCTAGCAGTAGTATCTTAAAACTAATATTTTAATAATTTGCTGTGGACAAGCACCATTTTCTCAATCCTATAAGAATGTGAAGAACACAGTTTGGAAACACTGTTTTTATGGACCCATAGCCTGAGCAAATCCCTTCACCTCTCTGGGCTTTGGCTTCCCAACCATGAAAGAAGGAGTAGGATGATTTTTAGGGAAATGCTCCTGATTTCTCCAGTTTTTTGAATTCAGAGTAGCCCCTAAACCGGCAGCTGCTGGCAAACCTGACAGGAAAGGCAGAGCAGGATCCGGAAGAGACAGCAGAGTAAGGCTACCAACTCCAGGCAGACCTCAATCCCGAGTGCCCAGGGCTTTGGGGTGTCCTTTCCAGGGGCTGCAGCTCAGGCTCTGCCCAGGGCTGCCCCCCAGCCCGCCCTTGGCTGTCAGGCAGGCCTGCTGGTCCCTGGAGACCCTGCCACCCAGCCACTCCCTGTGGTTTTTGCAAGCTGGTACTTACCGTGCTCAGCAGAGCATGAGATGGCTGCCTCGTGGGCCCAGGAGAAGCGGCTTCTCTGCTTTAGTAACAAGGACCCAGCCTGTGCTGCCAAGCACGGCTGTGGCACCTCTGCTGTGGTCTCAGACCGCTCCAACCCCCAACGGCCGTGTGTAAAAGAAGGAAGCAAAAGTGTGGTTACTCAAGGCCACGTGACGGCCCACACCTCCTTGTTTGTTGCAGCTTTGGGGACGTTGATCAAGCTTGGGTGTGTAGTAGGAGAAAGGGCCCTGCTGAGCCCGAGGCCACTCTTGGGTTCCTGTAACCATGAAAACACCTAGAACCACATGGAAACTTGCGGGGGAGGGGTAGTTGGTGGGGGAGGGGTCGGCCCAAGCTGAGAAATGCCACAGCACTACTCCACGGGGATGGAGAGTGGAGGTGAGAGGGCACCCATCCTGGAAGGGAGGGAGTGACCAGATGCGAAGGAGGATGGTGGGGAAGCCAGCAAGTAAACAGGTAAACAGACCGTTAGGACACAGTGTGGTCACGTCACCCTGGGGTGAGCCAGGGAGGGGCCCCTAACCCACCCTGGGTCGGGGGGGAGTTGTCAGGAGACTCTTCCAAGGAGAAGTGGCCCTTGAGATGACAAGTAGGGGTGGGCTGGGCGGGCAGCCCAGGGGGAAAGCAGCAGCCCAAGGAGAGCGTAGAGCAGGAGCCATGGCCGGGAGGCCTGAGAACGCACAGACTCTCAAGGAAGCCAAGGAGGAAGGGCTGTCTCCCAGGGTCTGGCCAGTGGCTTTGTACAAGGTGGGGCTCAGGACACATGCAGAGAGAGGTTCACATCCTGCCTTGCACACAGGTTGTTTTAAACTGAAAATCAGAGCCCCAGTGGGTTGTTCACATGACAGAACCTTGATCACTTTAGGAAGCTACAGCTGGAAGGGGCCCAAAACTCAGTCTGTACAGACAGGGAAACTGAAGTCCCCAAAGAGGAAGGGAGACACTCAGAGCTTCCCGCTCCTCCCCAGCAGGTGGGGGAGTAGCCAGCCCTCCGGGGCAGGGGCTGAGAAACTCTGAAAGCCTTACCCAGGAGAGGAAGGCCACTCCCCGACCATAAGCATTCCAGGTACGTCTCTTCTAGCCTGGGTTCACAAGCACTTTGGGGGCGGGACAGTCTCTCTGCTAGGATCTGCCCCGGATGTCCACCCCGAATCCCAGCGCATCCTGAACAACAGCCCATCACCAGACCCACAGGTGTGAAGCCGATGGCAAGATCCCTAAGATGCAGCGGTCAAGGAGAGTGAGCGGACCAGGAGTCAGGGACCTGTGTGACCCTGGGGTGACTTCCCCCCATCCAGGTCCCAGTTCTCTATAAAATAGGAAACCTCCAAAGATGGAAGGTCCTCCAAGAACTGGGGAGGATGCTGATGGCCAAGTCAGAGGGGCACGAGGGTGGCTCTGACAGGAACTTCCAGCGGGCCAATCGCCCACCTGTCAGGGTGGAGAGGGGAACATCCATGACTTTGCAGCAGGCAAGACCCAGACTGTCTGGGCTGACAGTCTACACAGAGCGTGACTGACCATCCCGGCCTGCCCGGGACTGAGTGGGCTCCTGGGATACGGGACTTCCAGTACTAAAACTAGGTCAGCTCCAGGCAAAGTGGGATGAGTTGGTTGTCCTAGAGCAGGGACCAGCCCCTCCCAGGCCACAGGGCCAGGGGACCTGATCATCTGTTCTTTTCTGAATGGGGTATCAGAGGCTGTTAGCTTCACCTGCGGCACTGGGGTGGGGTACTGGCCAGGGGGTCTAGAGCAAGCAGATGCAGAGCCCCGCATCTCCCAGACGCCTCCTTTCCTCCCTGACCCCCATGCAGCTACAAGCTGCTTCTCAGAAGATCTGGGCACAGCCTGGGGAAAAGTTAATTCTGCCACTGTCCAGCCCCCAGTCCCTTATGCCCCTGTGAGCTTTGAGAACCAGCCAGGAGCAGTGCCCTGGAAGGGACCACTCTCAAGATCAGGGGCCTCGTAACTGGCGTTTTACAAGCTGCGTGACCTAGGCAAGTCACTTCTCTGGAGCCTCAGTTTCCTCACCTGCAAAGCCTCGTAATACAAACGCTTAACATTTCCTTGGCCTCTGCTCTGCGCCAGACGCTGTGCATCTATCCTCTTGTAGGCTCACAGCAGCCTTTGGAGGTGGGGATGCTGAGACTCAGAGCAAGGCTGTGCCTTTCTCAAGGTCACACAGAGTCAGCCGCAGGGTCCAGGGAGACAGAATAAAGCCCCCAACCTCCACCCCTGGCCTGGGATCGTGCTGGCTGAGTATTTGAGTGCTGGTGCGTCTTCTCTATACCAGCAAGTGCTCTATGTAAGGGGGAAGGCAATAACTTAGCAGCAGGTAAAGCTATGTCAAGGGAAGACTTGTGCCGCTAAATCTGCCTTGCAGAGGAGGAAATATTGCTAAGAGGATACTGGTTCTTGGTGCCTGTGCGAAGACCATAAAAGTACAGCACACCTCGTGGCACATAAACACCTGTAAGATGCAAGCATTCAAAGTGAGCAGGTTTCCACTTCCACAAACGGAACCCAGAAAAGTACTCCAGAATGCCCTCAAAGATTGAAGCAATGGTATTTCACCTAAGAAACACTGGGAAGAAACATTCACGTCCCATGCAATGGAAACCTGTCCCCTAATGGGATAAGACGCAGGTGTTAAAGTCCCCTTTATGCTGAATGCCTGTAAACTCACCCCTTGTTAGGTGTAAAAGCAGGGGTATAAGAATGTAAACAGCATACTTTCAGGGGTGTGGGTGCTTAGAGGATGGACTGAAAAAAAAGCTTACAGTGCCCTGTAAGCATGACAGTGGCCCTTCCTATTTTCCTTTTCTATAATTTTAAATAGAAAAATGTATATAATGATGTATATGTCAGCTTTATTATCAGGAAACAGATTTTAAATTCTACAAGGACTTTACAGACACCCTACATTTCAGGATGGCTAGACAATCTGCTGCTTTTGTCTGTTTCTATCCTTATGGGGTCTTTGGGGGACAGCTCCTCCCACCCCCTAAGCTTGTGTTTTTCGGGGCTGCCAGCCATGGTTTCCCAATGCCCCCCGGCCACAGCGATGGGACCAACGATATCACTTCTCCAAATGCTCCTCAGCCTGACTACGGAAGATCTCCGTGGAAGATTCTCTGGAGGGGTTTAGGAACCTGCTCATATCACAGACTAAACTCTCAAAAGAACAATGCATTCCCTAGAATAGAATCAGGGAGCTTTTTCTGTAAAGGGCCAGAGAGCAAATCTTTTCAGTTTTGTGGCTCTGTCAATAACTATTCAAGTCTGCAGTTGTAACATGGAAACAGCCGTGGTCCATATGTAAGTGAATGAGCATGGCTGCGTCCCAACGAAATTTTATTTAAAAAACAGGTGGAATTCATTTACAAAAACAGGTGAATTTGTCCCACAGGCTGCAGTTTGCTGACCCCTGGCCTAGAAAAATGGGAGTCACTGGCTATGAGGAGAACCAGATTGGAAAAGGGACCCACCTGGTCCCCACTGATGGGCAGAAAGAAACACTGGTCCCCTTAAGACTACACTGCTGGCTTTCTCAGTGCAGGGCACATTTATTGAGCCCTGACAAGCGCCGGGCACTGGGATAAGCCACAAGCAGGACACACACTGTCCTTGTCCTCTTGGGGCCTTCAGGTTAGTGGTCAGGCCAAAAGCTACCAGGCAGGGCCACTGAATGCAGCCAGGTAGAAAACACAGCCCTAAGAATCAGGAGAATTGGGTCCTTGCTTCACATTTTCTGTGTGTGGCTTTAGGGAATTCACTTGAGCTCTCTGAGGCTGGCTCATCTGGAAAATGGAGATTTGAATGCTTAGTGCAAAACAATGGAAGGACTCAGTTAAGGCCTGAGAGTAAACAGGTAGGGCTGCCAATATACGCAGAGGCCAACTGCCTCACCTCTCTGACTCCCTGAGTCCATTTACCCTAAAACTCAAGAGCAAAACCTGCCATAGGTTTCAGGATGCCATTCCTCAATGAATAAGAGCAGAAGTCCCTTCTTTGCTCCAAGTGCAGGAACTCTCTCCCTATGCAGGTTTCAATGGCTCCCTATTGTTTTTAGAATAAAGACTCAAATCACCAGCATGGCTGGCAATGCTTAACCACCCCCCTCACCCCTGGCCTCATCTCATTCACATGCCCCCTTGTTCTCTGCTCCGGCTCTCTTCTAGCTCCTTTTATGTTTCCCCCGACACAGGGTCTTTGCATGCGCAGTTCCTTCTGCCTGGAGCAGTCTTTACTGGTCATCACCTGGGTAACCCCTCCCCACTCTTCAGACCCAGTTCATGTGCCCCCTCCTCAGAAAAAGCCTGTCCTGCCCACCCTGCCCCATTCTGCAATCTCAGAACCCTGTGCCCCTCTCCAATGTACATGGGATTATCTAATAAATGTCTATTTCCCCAAAAGCCCCAGGAGAAAACCGTGTCTGTTTTGTTCACTGTGGCATCTCCTGGGCCAAGCACAGAGCCTGGCACATAGGAATAAAAACTGCTAACATTTATCAGGTGCTTCTCTGTGCCAGAGAGTGTCCTAGGTTTTTGATATATGCTAATTTGTTTCATCGTCACAATTGCCCCACGAGGTAGGTACTATTAGTATTCCCATTTTATAGATGAGAAAAACCAAGGCCCAGAGAGATTAAGTAATTTGCCTAAGGTCACACAGCTAGTTAGTGGCAGAACCAGGGTTTGAACCCAGGCTGTCTGATTACAGAGCCTGCATTCAATCAGATAAAAGGTTGTTGAATAAATATGCAAGTAATTCCAGCTTTTCCTGGCTGGGCCTGCCTGCAATGACTGGTCCAAGGGGATGCAATGCTCCCCACCACCCTCTAACCTGAAGTGAGCAGCTGGGGTGTGGAGCAGGAATTACAATCAGCAAAGCCAATGGGTGTTAAGTTCCTTTCTCTACCAGAGTCCAGTGGTGGGCTAGCCTGGGAACAAAGGCCCATTTATGGGCCTTTTGGGAAAATGTGGTCCTGGGCATTAACTAAAGGCCTGTTACTGCTGGAGCAGCCCCATCTTAAAGGGAACGGCGTGGCTCCTTGGGCCGCCAACTGGACGACGAAGGATTTGATATCCAAACAGTCCACAACCTCCTTATACTCGGACCCTCCTAGATGATCATTTGTGCGCTAAATGCGGTCGTGCTTCCGTCAGCTGATGGGCGAAAGTGCTGCACCTGCCACATGGTGACGGTCACAGCCTCACGGTGGGCACCCAGTCCCAACGGCCTCACCACTGCCTGTACAGCTCTGCTTGTGCAGAGGCCTATCTGGTGTTTGCTCCTTAGTCGTTTCTGGTTGTGGAGTGCGGTGGGAAACCGTCCTTATGAAACTTAATACCATAGAGACAAAGAGAGCAAGCATTAGGCGGCCAAAGCCAGCAGAGCTTAGCTCCATCGTGGTATTCACCAGACATAAGCTGGTCAGTTATTGAGGAAAACGAGAAAAAACATACAAACAAAAAAACACTTGTGGACTTCTGGAAATATGTGGATAGGCAAGGACAGGCCAGGAGTAGCTGAGATCCAATCATCTTTGTAATTTGCTGGGGACCCGCGGGGCCCCTCCCTCACAAGATGTCCACTTCCTGTAGGACCCTATGCCCATTTCCCTGAAAATGGAAAAAACTGCAGGAAAACGGGGGTGGCGTCCCATAGAATCATGCCTGCCTTCCTAAGTGGCCATCATGCCTCCTAGGAAGCTGGGGCTCAGGGAAGGGCCCAGGTGGGCCAGACTGCAAAACCTGTGGCTTCCTCTCAGACAAACAGGAGTCCAGCTGGCAGCGCAGCAGTTTTCAAATTTACCCACAGGACACTTTGTTCAAGTGAAAGCAAAGGTCTCATGAAACAGAGAACAGGGATATTCTAATAAAAGGCCCAGCCCTGGAGAGGCAGAGGGGAACCAAACCCAAATGCCTGCCCTTCCCTTCTTCCTCCCCACACGCCCTCTTTGACCCAAGGGAGGGCTCACAGGCTGCCATGGGTTGATTTGAATGTCCGAAGGGGAAACGGCCGCTTTGGGCGCCACCACAGCCAGGACGTCATTCTGTTAGGGGAACCAATGACCCAAACTGCCCTCCCTGGCAAGGCCCAATAGTAACCACTTGCATGAGCTGCCTGGCAACAGGACCTCCTGGTGAGGAATGCAGAACTGACAAGCTACCACCAAGCAGAATAATTCGGGAAAGGTCAGGAGACACCGGTCCATATGTCCCTACCAACCTCCCAGAATCCTTCTCGCTGGAATCTATCTTGGCTGAGTGACGCGTGTGCCACCGGGTAGGACCATGAGTCAGAATGATTGGCCAGAGACAACCCGGAAACTAACCCCATCACCATTAAACCCGAGACCGCGAGCCACGTGGCAGAGCAGTTCTCCTGGGTTCCCTCACCCTGCTGCCCTCCACCTGGGCGTCCCTTCCCAATAAAGTCTCCTGCTCTGTCAGCACGTGTGCCTCCTCGGACCGTTCATTTCTGACTGTTAGACAAGAGTCCACTCTTGGGCCCTGGAAGGGGTCCCCCTTCCTGCAACAATTCCCCTCTCAAATGGGAACAGAACTTTGAGGAGTTCACGTTCAGCCCGATTCTGGCTGCCTCTCAGGAGCTGGCGGCTGGGATGGGAGCCTGCAAAGTAAGCCAGTCCTCCAGAGTGGACAGGGACTCTCCAGGGCTCACTGGGTCAGCTTAGGGTGGACAGTGGCCAGCGCAGGGGCTGGTCCCAGGCCTAGAAGGCCAGATGGCAGTCAAATCTAAAGTGCTCCAGACTCCAGGGGTTTTCCAAGGAGCACAGCAGCTGAAGAAATCAATGTCTCCAAGGAGCCACCCCAAGCCTGGGCTTGGCCCTAAAGGTACAAAGATGAAGAACTCTGGACCTCGGAACTCAAGGGGCTCTGATGACGGAGACAGAGCTGCATGAGGCAGGAATTTTGGTTGCAGACAAACTCAACTCAAACCGGCTTAGGTGGCAGTAGGATTCCTGGGGTAACTCGTGCAGCAGGATCTCGGGCATGGACTTAGGGAGCAGAAGGGACCCAGAGCGCTTTCTCCATCACTGTGTACCTGTCCTGCCTGCTAGCTCCCTGCACCCCCAAATCCCAGGCCTTTGTAAAGGAGAACTCAGATTTGCCGGCACGGAAGGTGGTGGGCTCGCTGGTCCAGCCTGGGGTGGACTGTGGTCAGGGGAAGGTTATAATCTGGAAGCAAAGCACTGTTGCCCAGATAATCCCACAGGTATCCCCATCTCAGATAATAATGTCTATATTTTCAATTCACTCATTCAACAAGTATTTATTAACACCATATGCCAGAATCCAGGGATACCATAGTCAAGTTCCCATCCTGTTCTCATTCAATTTGGGAGAGACAGAAACTCATGAGTTGATAGAGCTGGTGGTGATACGTGTTATGAGCCCTGCAGACACTGGGGGTGGGGGGAAGGATGGGTGGTCCAGAGAGAACAGCACATGTGAAAGCTCAGAGGTAGGAGGCCTTGTGACAAGGGGACATCAGGAGACGAGGTCAGGAGGTCGAGGGCCAGCCTCAACTTACTGTGAGGATCTTACAGCCCTTATTGAGTGGGATGAAAAGCCAATGGAGGGTTTTGGGCCTAAAAACAGGAGTCAGCCAACTTTTTCCTAAAGGGCCAGATTGTAAATATTTCAGGCTTTGTGACCATCGGGTTTCATTCTGACTACTCAACTCTGAGGGTGCAGAGTGAAAGCAGCCATAGATGCTGCTCAAACAAATGGGCGTGGCTATGTTCCAATAAAATTTATGGACACTAAAACTTGAATTTGACGTAATTTTTACTTGTCACTGGGTTTTTTCCAGCCATTTCAAAATGTGAAAAAGCTCTTCTTAGCTTGTAGGCTGTACAGAAACTTTCAGTGGGCTGGATTTGGCCTGTGGGCCTTTGCTTACCCAACCCTGCCTTCATACCTTAAGAGGTTACCCTGGCTGCTGTGTGGAGAACAGACTACAGCAGAGGACAACAGGAAGCTTGGTTTGGAAGATGGTTAACTTTTACGTGTCAACTTGACTGGGCCAGAGTACCTAGAAATTTGGTCAAGTGCTATTCTGGGTGTGTCTGTGAAGATGTTTCTGGGTGAGATGAACATTTGAATTGGTGGACTGAGGAAAGCAGACTGCCCTACCCAGCGTGAGTGGGTAGGCCTCATCCAATCAGTGGAAGACCAGACTGGAACAGAAAGGCTCAGTAAGCAGGAACTCCTTGCCTGACTGCCTCTGAGCTTGGTTTTTTGCTGCCTTTGGACTCAAACTGAAACACTGGGTCTCCAGTTGGCTGACTGGAGATATGGGAACTTGGCCTCCATAATCATGCAAGCCCATTCTTATAATGAATCTCTCACTATGTATATGGACACATCTCATTAGTTCCGTTTCTCTGGAGAACACAGTAGAGAAGAAGCTCAGCTCATTTCAGAGATGATGGGGGCATGAACTAGCAGGGTTACAGCAGCGGTGTGAGAAGTAGCTGGAATATGGATGTATTTTGAAGCTGGAGCCAACACGAGTGGCTGAGAGGAGACAGGAACCAGGTGGGAGGGAGGAAGGGGCAAGTCAAGGGGGCTCTCCTAGGGGAAGCTGAAGAGCTGGAGATAAGAGGGGAACCACTTGTGTCTCTCTCAGAGATCTTGACAGATTCTGTTCTAGAAAACATCACTCTGGAAGCAAAAAAGGGAACAGGCGGGCAGAAGTAGAGGAACCAGTTACAAGGCTGTTCAAACAATAGTCTGGTCACTCTACAAGGGGGGGTTTCTGGCAGGTGCCCAGATGCCCATATGGGAATCTCCACCTTGCCGTCTTTTGTGACATTTAATCCACTGCTCTGGTAGAAACTGGCCAGGGCAGTAAGCACTCGCTTGTCACGTTGGGAACTGCGGTTGAGAATGGCAGTGCGTTAACCAGGAGGTGCTTCGTCTACCTTCTACAATCCAAATAGCATCTTGGCACAGAAATGAACCTGCAACAACTTCCTATTATGTATGGGGCAACTTCCCAGTTCTCAGACCTTGTCGCTTAGAGCTCCAAAGCTTGGATTTTGTTGCTGAAACCCTGAAGGTTGATTTCTCGACCTTCAGGGAACTGAGCTTCAGTCCAAACAATGTTTCCTGGCTGGGCCACTTGGTCACTGGCTCCACTCCAATTTTCTGCAGGCCCCTTAAAATCTCGTATTTCCTCAGTGAATGCCAAGACGAATGGAACCATGGTGGGGAGGGGTGGTTTAGAAATGAGTAATGAGAAGATAGCAGGGCTGTGAAGAAGGTGAAGGCTGCCCTGCCCCCTCAGCTGCTGTAGCACCTCAGGGGTCCCGGGACTCTGTGTGTGACCCGTTCACACTGTGATCAGTCTGCATCACCTGGACTAGTTGGCCGTGAAGGTGGGGAAGGTACTAACTTTGTGTTTGAAGCCCTCAAGCAGAGCACCCGACACCAGGCCAGCCCCTTGCTCTTCCCCTTTCAGACACTGATGACTGTCCGTTTCTTTCAACCCAAAGCTTTCCCTATACCCACAACTGTCTGCCGGGCCTTTGTCTGAATCGTTTCTCTCCAGGGCTGCTCCAAACCCACCACATCATCCTTTCCAAAAATATTCATTGAGTCTTTCAGATCAGCATGAGGAAGCCTCCATTAAAACAACAACAAAAAAAACCTCAGCACCTAGTGATTTTGGTAGCAGAAGAGATCCGTCCGCTTGCTTTTCAACTGCTTCCCAACCTCCTGAGCTGAGTGCTTCAGTGGATTAACTTCCGGTCTGACCCGGCTCCCCGGGAAACTGGACCGGCACTGCTCTCCCCTCACGGGAGCTGGGTTCCTCCCCGCAACACTCCTCGCCCCCCATTCATGAACTCAGGCTCTGAAAATCAGTTTTCTCACCCAGTTTCATTTCCATGCAGTAACGTGAAACTACACTGAATCTCAAAGAGCCCACCAGCCTCTCTCAACTCACCTTCCTCAAGGTTGCAACCCATCTACCAAACTTGGCAGCCACCTGACCCCTGAGGATCTTTGGACCTGGAGTAATTTCTCTCCCTCCACTTTTCCATTCCAGGAACTTGCCCCAAGCACACTATGACTAGCGTCTCCTAGCAAACTCCTTCCACTTCTAAGTTTGTGTTAAACCAGTCGCTGGTGGACTAAATTCCTGGGGGTGGGACAAAGAACACTGCTATCTGCACGTCAAGACCCTCTCGGACTTAAAACTGGACACACTCCACCAGGGAGGTGAAACCATCCCATTCAAACAGAGGCGGCAGCTGGGACTCGGATTAAGCATACTAAAATATATTATCCCATATAGTATTGGTTGGAAACATATTTCCCGGTTTCTGTGGCCTTTGCTTTTTGGACATATTGAATACGTAATTCGATTTTTACGCAGCCAACCTATCTTTTCCCTTGTGATTTATTCTACTGCCAGTCTGAAGTCTAGATAAAAAGGGACTTATTTTTACTTCTAAATTTGAAAACAAAACTACTGACCCCATTAACCACGGACACTGGTGTTGCTGGGAGGCGCTAAGGAGTCCCTGCCCCCAGAGCGACTTTAATGTCCCACCACTTCCTTCCCCACCACTGACTTACGATGCCTGCTTTAAGGTACTATTAATTTCTCACTCATACATTACTTTTTTTTTTTTTTTTTTTTTTGTGGTACGTGGGCCTCTCACTGTTATGGCCTCTCCCGTTGCGGAGCACAGGCTCCGGATGCGCAAGAAAAGCGGCCATGGCTCACGGGCCCAGCCGCTCCGCGGCATGTGGGATCTTCCCGGACCAGGGCACGAACCCGCGTCCCCTGCATTGGCAGGCGGACTCTCAACCACTGCGCCACCAGGGAAGCCCCATACATTACTTTTAATAACTTCTTTCTGGGAATAAAGACATTTATAGGAAATTTAGAAATTCAGAAAAAATCCAATTAATGAAAAATTACCCACAACTGCTACCCTACATAGCAACATTTGTGGTCTTTACCCTACACAGAAATATTCATTATTATCAATATAGGCACATATCCCTCAAAGGGTTTGTCAAAAACAATCTATTCCGGGGTGGTTAATAACTGAGCCACCGTCTGCTGGACTAATTTTCACTCTTCCAGTTCCCAAACATGCCTCCCGCTACTGTCCTTGGGACAAAATTCCCAGAGGTGAAAATCCTGGGCTAACAGGTAAGAACGTCGAAAACTCCTGATCTACCCTGTCAACCTGCCCTCGGCAAGAGTACCAATTTACACACGCTCCCTCCAGCAGTGGAGGAAAAAACATTTTTCATGTGAAAAAGGAACAAAGGGCACTGTGCAGCTGCCCACCTGCAGAAGGAGAGGTGTGTGTCCTTGACTGTCTCGGGTCTGTGACCCAATGATGGCTTTAGGACGTGGGAATGTGCTATCAGCAGAAAGGGAAGGGCTGCTTCGAGTTAACTGATTCTGAAGAGCCAACCAAAATTCTTCTGGACACAGAACACCAAGTACAGCAAGGGAAGTAGGCTTTAAAAAACGGAAGTTCTCCCTCGACGGGGCCTGGCTGGCTGTCTGGGGCTAACGTGGTAACCCTGGGTCTTCTGGCAAAGGAGCAAGGCGGCCAAGGTGAGAAACCAGTCGGTCGTAAATGCCCCACACCACGCATCTGCCCCCTGACTGGGGGCACCGAGGGGCTGCAGACGGAAGCAGCCGACTTCCACTTCCTGCAACCACAGAAGGGCTGACAACGACCCTGGCCGCCGTTCTCCTCACAGACTACAGCAACTTCAGGAAGAGGGTGTTTGAGGACGGGAGGCTTTGTGCCAAGTAGTCATCATAGTGACATTTAGAAAAACCAAATGGAGGGAAATTCTTTGCTACCATCACTGAGATGTCATGGGACAATGTTTCAGTGCAAAAAGGGAAGAGGAGAGAGGGCCAAGAAATTCAAGTGACCTTGAAAACCTTCTGCTGGAATAAAAAGCACAGCTAAGCCAGGAGTACTGGGCTTCCTACTGAAGAAAGAGCTGCTTTCCAAGGCCCCCATTCCCAGGGAATCAGCTTGTCGTGGGACCCATGGTGGCCGTGCAGTGGGCTCCTTGGGTGGCCAGACGTGGCTATTCCTCTCACTTGAACTCTACGCAAGTCTCGTCCCTCCTTCACAATTCGGGGCTCATCCAGACTAGGCTATCTGCCCCAGATCCGCCCCTGGCAGAGGCTGGAGGCAGGATAGACCCCACTCCATCTGCGGAACCTGGGGCCCACCCACATGTGCCCCGTACTTACCCCCTGAGAGGGTGGTTCCACCGAGTCAGAGACGCTGGGTCAGGCAGCAAGCCGCGTGCTGCCTCACAGACAGTGGCGTGCGAAATAAACACGGACACCGTTTGGTAACCAATGATTTTTTTTTTTTATCTTTGAAAATGGAAGCAAGTGTTTTGACAGAATACGATGGCCGCTCTATAAGAGCCGATCTAGGAGTAATTCACTGGTTTTCCTCTGGGATAGCACGGATTTAAAAAAAAAAAGGCAAAACAGGAAAAATAATCCACAGAGCTTGAGGCGCCCACTGAGACTGGCAGGGAGCCCGTCCATTAAATAAGCCTACACTACACACTAAGATCAGGATAACTCGCCCTCACCCTCCTCTTCTCTCCGAACCGCATTCCCTACGGTGTTTCACCGCCATCAACAATTTTGTTCACTTAATTAATTGGGTGTCTGAACCTTAGAACACTTCTGAATCTTAAAAATGAAGGTCCTCAACAGATTATGTTGATAAAGAAACACATACAGGTTTGAATATAAATCACTATTATTGTTTTCTTAACACCTCATTATCCACTTTAATATTTAAAACACACACGCACGCGCACACAAAACCACACCAAACATTCAGATGCCCTGACACCATGGAGACGGCAATCCCACGACTGGTAAAGAACATGGTACCTTCTTCTCTATTCAGACACGAGGACAGCTTGACCATGCAGCCCAACCCACCGACGCCACGCTCTGCCTCAGCCTGGGTCCCTGCGCACAGACGCTTCCAGCCAGTCCCAAACCGTCCCCACGCCAGCAAGAGCACGTGCAAGCGTCCCCGCCGTGGTCCTAATGCTTGACACGATTCCCGTTCCACCACAGGCCCTCAGCCCTTCCAAAGCAGAGGCTCTTTAAATCTTGTTCCTCAAGCACGCACTCTGAGAAAATGGAAATGGAGAGAAGTCCCAGCTAACCCAGGAGTGGGGCAGGCCATGGGAGATCAGTGTCTGGCCGGGGGCTGGGTAGTCTCTGTGCTCAGATCCAGCCACAGTGCAGCTGCAGGGGGGTGCGGGGGAGTTCGTGAAGAGGGTGCGCAGGGACCAGTTGCACCATCAAAGCTACGGCAGACGTCTGCTTCCTTCTCGACCCTCCTCCCCAGTCTCAATATCAATAGTCAACAGCACCCTCTGGCCTCAGCTTAGCAGAATGCAGTTAGCACCGAAAGGCAGGAGAAGGGAGGATGGCCGAGGGAGCCCTGAGAGAGGGGGCTGCATACAGGAGGGAGAAGAAAGGGCAGGAGCTCCAGGGGTGTGGGGGACCTGTCTAGCACAGCGAGGGGGCAGCACGGGACACGCGGGAAAGCAGAGGATCACGTGGGGTGAACGCTTCCCTCCAGGTTCCCTAGTCTGTCTCACCCCATCCCAGGGTACTCGGGAGCCAGGCCAGCTGCTGAAAGGGACAAGAAGGAACACCTCACAGCACGTGTGGCTCCTCGTCCTGGACACCCTTGTCAAGTACTGACCAAAATCTGGAACATGACGTTAAAGTGATGAAGGTAATAGATTCTATGTGTGTAACAAAACCGCAGAAACACATGCTAGTTTAGGTTCGATTATAATCATCTGAAGCACAGGATAACCAAGAAGCAAAGTTCCATTCTGGTACAACCACCCAATTTCTAGAAAAGAGAAAGGAAACGATTCGATATGAGCTTTTTTTGATCAGAAGACTCGATGGAAAGGGAGGGGTGGGAATATGAATCCACGTGATTTTTCAAGTCTTCCTTTTGTACAGTCATTAAGATGACCAGGTTTGTGCTGCAAAGAAGCCAGCACAGAGTGGCTACTGCTCTGATTGTTCTCAGATGAATGTTTATACAAAATAATATCTTCATTTAGTTTATAAACATACACAGTGCTGTCCCTTTCAAATTAAGGAGAAAAAAAAACCCCACACACAAATACTGCAAAGTAGCAAAATACAAAGAAAAAAAGCTACTTTTGGTTTTGGCAACATTAAAAAAAAAAAAGAAATATAAAAAGCAATGTGGCATTGGTCCCTGTTTGTAAAAAAAAACCAAAAACAAAAAAAAACAAAGGTACTTGGGCAGGACACTGAATCAGAATTGGTTGGTTTTCTAAAATTCAGAATATCTGGGATTATCAAAGTAGCACTTTTGTCTTTTAGAAGTTCACAAGTCACATAACACTTAAAACATCAAAAAAAGCTTTCTGGTAAAAAGCTCAGCTTTTAAACCACATTTTGTTTCTGCAAATTTGGGAGACGAGTTGAGTCCTTACTGGAATGTGGCCTATCGCTGGTCGACAGATCTGAAATGTCTCCAAGGGGCAGTGCCTCCCTCTCGCCCTCCCTGGGACCACACCAACTACCAGCCACGAGCGCGTTCCTGCTCCGTCTGCGGGGTGGGGGTGGGCCTTCAGGCTGCTATCTTTGCCATCTGCTGTTCTAACTTGGAAATACGCTCATCTTGATTGCAGATTGTGTCTTTTATAGATTTGATCTCTTTCAAAATCTCATCCAATTTGGCTTCATTTTGCTAAGGAAACAAAAAAAGAGGGGAGGGAAGAGGATGACTAAAAAGCAGCAACGTTCAGCACAGGTGGAATGCATGGGGTATAACTGTGACCTCCCATTTTGGAAGTGGCAGGCTGCAGCAGCCCGGCTGAGCCTTGTAGGAACGCCAGGAATGCTGGCTGGGCCAACTGGCACCCACAGCAAAGCAACAGTGTATCACGGCTCCTGGCCCCACCTGTGCGCCTACCTGGATGGAGACTCCTGGGACACAACGAAACTGCAGGAAGAGACTGATCCCTGCAAGGCTGCCCCACATCCCAACCACCCCGATCAGCCAGCTCCAGCAGGAGCATCTTCTATGTGACCAGGGTGACGGGTGACCCTCCAGAGGCTACTGAGCTCCCACCAGCTCCTAGAAAGGTCCTTGGGAACCACATCCCCTGCCCTGCCTGCTCCTCTAAAGAGCCTGAGCTTCTCCCTCGTGGAGCTGATTCTTCTGCAGGAAACCCTGCAGTCCCCAAAGCTGTGGTGCCTCATGTGGCTTGCTCGGTCACAGTCAAAACACTAGCTCCTGAGGGCACTTTGCCTCTTGTCTCTGCCACCTCCACATCGACAATTCCCGGCCCCTCCTGGCCCCCAGAACTCCATTCTACAGCCTGCCGACACCAGCCCCCTCTCCTCCCTGGCTCGACCCTGCTCTCCCGTGGCCACAGGGGTCTTCACTGTCAGCCTCTGGTCTCCATCACTCCCCTGAAACAATTCTTGCTAAGATGCCCAGGATCATCTCTGCCTCTAAGTCCCACTCACCCCAGATCCTTCTGCCACTCAAACACTTAGCAACTTCTAAAATCTCTCACCACTCCCTCCTTCCTGGGACCTCATCTTCCCGGCATCGGTAACAGACTGACTTCTATCCTGGTCATCATAAAAAAGAGAGCTAAAGGAGTCAAACTCATAAATGTCACGTGATCAAGGTGGTTCCTACAAACAGTGCCTGTTACCATTACTGAACCCCATCCATCCAGCGGGGACAGTGCCCGCAGACGCCCAGGCTGGCAGGCGTGTTCGGGAGGGCCAGGCTGAGCCGGCCCAGCACGCCCCAGGCCCTGCGGTCCTTACCACGCTGGCCGTGTCTGCGGTCTTCTTGGGGACGCTGATCAGGTCGCACTTCTTGTTTGCCGTGGGCTTGCTGTCCAGAATGTTCTTCTTGACCACCTTGAGGTCCCTGTTTTTGCCGGGAATGTATCCGTGCTTCAGGGAGATGAGGAGTGGATCTGCATTCCTCCCCTCGAACCACTCTTCCGCCTCCAGCGCCGCTTCGGGCCCCGCCGTGTCAGGGTACAGGTCATCCTGGAAAAGGTCAGACTACACGAGACACAGTGGAGAAATCCACAGATAAGGAAGGGAGCTCTGGGATTTTTAAAACCTTTTAAAAACATGGATTGCCTAGACAACTGGGCACTTACCTTCCTGGGGACAGTCATGATAATAGGCTCACACTTTCTCTCGTGAAGTTTGAAGAATCTTCAAAGAAGAAATAAAGGCAAAGTTGCATTAAGTGAAACAGGAGGCCAAGTAACAGGCTTAATAATTCACTCGTACGTTCTGTGTTTGCCCATCACCTCATCGGACGCATCGTGGGGAGCAGGTAGAACTTAGCGTTCCCATTTCACAGAGAAGAAAACAGAAGCTGAGAGGAGCTATGCTAGGGAACAGCGGATAGGAGACCGAACAGAGGCCTATGCATCATGGTGACAGTCAAGTTCCAATTACCTGGGGGCAAATCAACTGTGGGGAAATGATTAACACCACCGACAACGAGCCGCTTATGAGAAAATTACCAAGCCAGAAGACAATTACCAAGCCAGAAGACAGTGAACACCCATGTCTCAGAGAGTACCTATGACTTGGATGCCACGTCTTCTGCCAACGTGAAGTGGCTGAACTTTCGTTAAGTGTAAATAGGATTTTTAAAAAGGAAACGAAGACAATCCTAGGAATTAAATGTTGGCATCCGAGCAAACCACATCATGCATAACACTCAAGAAAAATCTGGAATTATCCAGGGTGTGGGAAGAGTAGGAAGACCAAGCCCAAAACCTGTGCGGCTGGCCTGGGCTGGATGGCCAGCTCCACCCCCCACACCTGGGCATGTGCCCACCTGACCCAGCCTCAAGCCCACATGGGGGGTAAACCAGCACCCGCCTCACAGCACGGGTACAAAGAGAAAGGGGATCCGGGCCGTGTGATTAGCACAGCGCCCAACACGTAACCAACGCCCCAGAAATACTGAGTAACCAGGAGGCGTCCTGAATGACTTCCTTATACAGTCATCCCTCGGTATCTGCGGGGGGTGGGTTCCAGGAGGTGCTGCGGACACCAAAATCTGTGGATGCTCAAGTCCCTTACATAACATGGCATAGCATTTTATATTCTAAGTCATTCTAGATTACTTACCATACCCAGTACAACGTAAATGCTATGTGAACAGTTGTAAACACAAAGTAAATGCTACGTAAATGGTTTCCCACGCGCCACAAATTCGTTTTGCTTTTTGGAACTTTCTGGAACTTTTGTTTCCAAATATGCTCAATCCTTGGATTTGGAACTCGCAAATACAAAGGGCCGACTACGTCTTTTAAACTTTTAGATGACAGTAAAATAAATGTGTTCCCAAATCCTGAATGTAATTTTGAAATTCAGATTCAATCTGTTTTGAACCACATTTTGATTAGTTTGATTTAAATCACAATTTAGAATTATCTGTGACAGCTTTCCTTCATTACTCTAGCTATAGAGTTGAAGGTATTATAAAAAAAACAAAAACAAAAAGAACCGTGCAGTGATTAATATTAAAAAAAGGGCTCATAAAGATTTCTTATATTTTTAAAGATGTAAGTGTCAATTATTTGCGTGACCAGGTCAGCACGCTTAGAAAAATGTCCATATAAACGCAGCGTTATAAAAACTCCACAGAGTAGTCCAGAGAGGCGGAAGTTACAACACACAGCCAAGCTTCCTAAGCCAAGCTAACCTAACACCCGCTGTAGAACTTTGTTTCTCTAGTTTCGGATCTGCGGGCTCCACAACCCGGTTTAGAACCTGGCTGGTCCCTCTGCAGGGCAGAAAAACCATCCCTCATTTCCATCCCAGGGAAAGGCTCTTCCTGGTTGCCTCCCAGGGGACACTGGCCACAGTCGCAGCCTGAAGACAAGCAACGATGGTTTCACTACTTAAATCAGGGTGTGATACGCCCCAGTGAAGCCTCTTAACCGCTGCATTTCAAGTTTATCATCTGAAGGATGGGGAGGGCACAGCTGGATGAAATGATTTTGAAGAGTTTCTTCTTGCTTTCAAACTCCACGTTTCTAAGAACAGGCAGGAAACAAGATACTAATTCTACGATTCTACTGCACACACACAGGTAGAAAAACTCAGGCGTGGACACGAATGGCGTAAGCAGGCTGAACACTTTCCGATACCGATTCTTTACCTGGCAATCTCACATTTGTTGACATCGAGTCCCCTCTTGGGCATGTAACCCATCCCCCTCTGAGGTTCCTTGCTGCTGAATGTGTTGAGGTAGTGGACATACGGGGATTCGTTCGTGATCTCAAAATAGCGGATACTGCTGTCACCCTACAAGGAATCGGAGACAGGTTTGCGTTTCACGTTAGCCGAAATATCTGATTTAGGTGGGTGTCTCTCTCCTCTATACACCCAGCACTGACTGGGACTCCGCTACGCTGGCTGACCTTTCCTCCTGTTAGGAGGCTTGCCTCGAGCACATGATGGTTTCTCTTCCTGGCAGAGCAAGCCCTCGCTTGTGCAAGGCTAGCTCGCCCTTTAAACAGCCTCCTCTGCCTCCTCCTGAAGGTTCTGACTTTCCTGCACTGAGTCTGGCCCCAAGTCAGAGTCGGAGCAGAAAGGTTAACACCTCCGCCCAACAACTGCGCCACAACAAACAAACAGCAGACCAAGAGGGGCTAGCGGGCAATTACTGACTTTTCAGCATACCTCCACGGGCACAGACCTGAGGGCGCTAACACCAGACAATCGGATAATAAGAAGTAAGATTTTTCTAATGAAGAGACATTAGTTTTAGTGAGTAACCTTTAACTTCAGAGGAGAATGCTATCCCATTACAATGCGTCAAGTTCTGTGATAATTTGGCTTAGAATGGTCAGATTTTTTTGAAGACCTGAAGAACGTGCTAGCCTCTCTCAGTGTAAATAACTGTCTGCACAGTTACATGAACCTGAACAATGAAGGCAATCCTGCCTGAGGGGAGAGATGTGTGTGTAAGAAGAAGTGATGAATAGCTAGGCGGTACTCTGCCCTAACAACCCTCTCCTTTCTCATATTTCCATTTGTTTCAAGAATGTAACTATCTAAAAAAATGGAAGACAAGCTAAACATACACTATTTGTTTTCTACATACTCACAGTAACTTTCCACCCAGTGTTAGTAACATCTGGGTAACAATGCAGTCTATGGCAGCTGTTAACATCTCAAGTAAAATGACTTTCAAGGAAACAGACAAGATCTCAGTTTCTAAATAACTGACCTATAAAAATGTCAAGCAGGTCTGCAGCCCACTCCATCAACTGTGAACAGAAGTAAAACACCCCCAGCTTCATCCCCAGCAAGGGACTATCTGACAGGTTTGGGGAAGGGAACATATCAACAGCTCCATTTGTATTAATTCATTTATTTCAACTACAAAAATTCTAAGGGAAATTGAGCCTACAGAAGAATGAGGAATACTGAGGTCTTTACCTTCTAAAATGAAGTAACAGTAATGATAATAAAGCTACCAACACTTTAGTTAGGCAGAAATCATCAGGCAGCAGGAAGGTGTCCTGAGTTCAGTGTGGGGTCTTCTTGTAACGACTGTCACCTCCTGACACTTGAGTCAGGCCATGTAATTGCAAGGCCTGGGCCTTAACACTGAACTCCAGGAGCGAGAACCCTCTGGAGAGTCTCTGAGGCCCTCAAAAGCTTATACCCATGGAGCACTTTTCTCTATACAATTGCTCATCTACTAAATCTCTGAAGGATAAACTTTTCTTCTTACAGGATTAAATTTAAGATCAAACAGCAAAATTACTGTTTACCTTTCCACATAAGTAAATGATACTGGTGTCAGGGTCATAGAAAGGTAGCAACACCCCATTGCTAGTGTCCATTTCATGAAGAGCAATTGGTTCCTCCATATTTTTCTGGGGAAAAAAAACACACACACACGCACACACATTTTTAAAAGGTGAATTTTTATAAGATGATACATTTTTCATCCCTAATTAAGTTAGCCATTTCCCTAAAATAATGAAAGTTTAAACAATGCACATATGATATTCATACATGTAATTACCAACAGGAATACTAGATGAGATCCAACTCACTGAAAATTGTGTTGATTTGGCAACATAATGCACACATCAGTGTGATCCCATGACAGAGATGAGAGCCCATCTCCTTTGTGACTGCTTTCTTTTTTAAAAGTACTTTTTTCTTATTACAAAAATAAACTCATGTTCTTTTAAAAATCAGAAGGTACAAGGAAAAACATAAAAATCATCCCATATTCCGTAATCCCACGGTCCAGTGGGGGGTAGAAACAATTACCATTTTGGCCTATTTCCTTCCAACATAGAAGCACACACAGATTGGGATCATACCATATATGCAGTTCAGTACGTTTTTCCCACTTGTGCTGTCATGAACATTTTCCCAAGCATGACTATTTTGATTTAGACATTTGATCATGTTCTTTAGGAAATATTTTAACTAAGTTTAGAACTTATTTCCCAAGTCTAAAACACTGGATTCTTCACGCATTCTTTCTAAAATCTACAGTCAACAGAGACTCCTTGGGAGTATCAAGAATGCATTTTTAAAATACATTTCGCAGTAAGTCTCCAGTGAGGATGAGAACTTCACATCCAACTTAAGACAAGCATGAGTTCAGCAAACGACACTGAGAACCCTATCATCTACTGCCCAACCCAAAGGCCCGCTCAGAAAAGAGAAAACTCGAGGCTGGGGAAGGGGTGGCAGGGCTGGGAAGGGGCGTACCGGGTTCCAGAGGGCCAGCTGCCGCTCGCTCATGCGGCTGAAACCAGTGGTAAAGACGTTGCCGTCAGCCAGAAAGATGGCCCTCATGGGTCGGGCTCCTTCATGTGCTTTCTCCTTCTCCTGGGCGAGAGAGCAAAGAGGCAGCTTACACAGTCAGACTGCAGGAAGGAAAAGTGGGGGAAAGCGGGGGCTCAGACAGTGAACCCCGCCACCCCACATGGCACTCACGTCAAAGGTGTGTGTGTGTGTGCGTGTGCACGTACGTGCACGAGCGTGTCAGTACTGGCCACCTCCCCTCCCTGAAGGAGGAGGAAACAAAGCGACACCAAGGGATCTGGCCAAGGCCCCTTGGCTGGTGAGCGAGCAATCGCGCCAGGTCTGGACTGAAAGGCCTCAGTCCTTCCACCAGCCCCTGCCACCAACCCAAGTCCAGGCTCTGCAAAAACAAAACACACGAAAGAGCTCTGCCAAGCCTTTGTTTCTCAAGAGTATGATGATAACCTGAAGGTGGACGGTCGCTACAGCATCTCGCAATTTCACAGGACAGAAAGTGGAGTCTGGCTAACCCGTTCCTTAGCCTCATCTCTTCAGCGGGAGCCCACCAGCCCCACCCCTTGGAAGGTTCTAGTGGAGAAAGCACGGGGTGTGGGGCCTTGATAAGCACCAGCCATGCCTGTCACTCGACTCTTGGGAATTATCACCGGCCAAGAGCCACCTTCTCAGAGAAGGGCCGTGACGAGGCAGAGTGGGGTGGAAGTGAGGCACCTCTGGATTCGACACTTGCAGTATCAACCTGACTAAAGGCCCGAGTGTCCATCTTTTGCTGTGATGTGTGATTCTGTGGAGGCCTAGCTCAGGTGGCAGAAACGGGGACGCTGAGCTGTGGAGAGAACCCATGGCATCTTGTCAGGCCCTTTAAAGACCGACTGGGGAGCAGCGGAGGGAATCAACAGATCCACCTGCAGTCCTAAGCCAGCATGCAGTAAACTCTGTGGGTTAGCTGCTCTAGACGTGCACATTCTTAAGCAAACTGATAAAAAAAACTTTGTTTCTTTGTGAGAAATGGTCGCCAAGTGAGAGGGAAGGCTTGGGTAAAAGCTAGAAATGCACAGCTCTGGAGAGAAGGGCAACTGGGAGACAGAAGCCTGGCCGAGACTCTTCTGATTCACAGTTTGGCGTCTGCACACAGCAAAGGTCCACGGACTGGCAGTCCCAGCCCCTGTGGTCTGCCTTAAAACGCAGAAAGTTCTCACTCCCTAAAGCGCTACACATACTGGGGCTTTTGTCCTAGGAATACTTACAGCAACAATCTCCTGTTTCCTAGGATCGATTACTCTCACTTTCTTGTCTTTGGAGGCTGTGCAGATCAGACTGCCGTTCCGGTTCCAGCTCACATTGTAAATCATGTCCGAATGTATATCGTCCAGGTTTAAAAGGGCTTCCCCCGTCCCCACGTTCCAGATGATGATGGTGTTATCACAGCCTGAAAGCAAGAAGGGATAAGAAACGCCTGCACAACAACGCATTTGTGAAAACTATCGATACAAATACAGGGAGGATAAACACACCTATGTATTGAAATGGAGATGCTAATTATAAGAAGGCTTACTTACGGGCAGTCAAAAACTGATGCGACCAAGAAAAAAAGAAATTTGTGTAAAAGAAACACATTAAAGGAAAAATACAGCTTATGAAGTTTGGGCTCATGTGAAACAAACAAAAACACCAACCAACCAAAGAACAACAGAAAAATAGAACCCTATGGTTTTTTTTAAGAGTTAACTGGGCTGGTGGACCCTGAGTGATCTTAAGTTTCCTTTTCTAGTAAAACAAGCATCAGAACGAATACAGCTTCTTTTTTTCCCAGAGGAACTAAAAATAAAGGGTTTAAATGGTGGTTTAGGAGGCTCAAGACAAAGACTGGATGGCAGGTTATTCCCATCAACCATGCTGTTAAGACATGGTCTTGCACAAAAGCATGGAAATTACAAGTGAAGGGAAATGCCTAGCCATCTGCTCACAGCAGATCTTTATCTTTAAAAGGAGAGAAAAATAGGCCAAGACTGGCCTGATTTGAGAAGCACAAACTGTCGTCAACTGTCGTCAAACAGGCACGTGAATTCAGAACCTGATCCCCAAAGAGGCCACAGGTCCACTGAGCCACAGCCCCTCAGCTCTTCAGCTCCATCCTCCCTTCCCTCCAGGGCTGGCCCCAAGTCCCCGAGGCCCCTTTAAAAAGAGGCATCATTTGCTGCTTCCAGGACATTAGCTCAAGGATGAAGCAAAATAAGGGACGGACATCCTGAAGATGGATTCTTGTCAATAAGCCAATTCTGCAAGCACTTAGAAAAATTAGCCACCAATAACCAGGACACCTATGTTACCTAGGGTCAGAAGTAGGAAATGGGTGAAAAAAACTGTACGACAGACAGTATGAAAAGTTGGAGCTAAACGCTGCGATGGAGATTTGACCCATCCTCTGCCTCGTTCATCATAGGCAAATGAGTAACTTCAGCCACTGTGGATGGATCACGTAGTCTTAAACTATGCAAAACTATGCACAACGCTGCAATCAACCATTCTCCTCTGCGTGTAAAAGAGAGACTGGGCTCAGTCTGCTGACGATACCCTAGATTTGACCTCGATGAGGCGGCCAATAGGGTATTTTCCATGAGGGAATTCCACCTTTGGAATTGTTTTCTCTCCTTATCAGACTGAGGTTCTGAGTAGAACACTGGAAGGCTTCCCAGTTATAGTCAATTGTGATTTAAAAAAAGAGAGTCTTACTTTTTTTTTTTAAAGTAGTTCTTGGTTTCAATAGGTACCAGGCATTAGATTTTTAACTTAACTCACTACGTCACAAATACCTTTCATACCCAGTTAAAAACTGACCTGCTCCTCTCCTTTTTACTGGTGAGGAGAAAGATCTTTAAAATTCTACCGCTAACATTAGCACTGCTTTTTTACTAAGCCAATCTTATTAAGGTATAGTTTGCATGAAATACAATGCACCTATTTTAAGTATACATTGGCTAAGTTTTGATACATGTACATATTCATGTAGCCATCATCAGAGTCAAGATCAACATTTCCATCACCCCACAAAGCTCCTTCCTGTCCTTTATTTTTTTTATAAAAAAAGAAAAAAAAAAAAAAAAAAAAAAAAAAAGCAGATAAAATCTCAGATTTTAGACAAAGAAAAAGATTTCTTTAAGATGAAACTTGGAAACTACACAAGTGGGAAACCAATAGGAACACTAGGACTTGGTCACAAGGGTTCACTGCAGTGCTGTTTAACAGTGAAAAATCGGAAACAACCTCAGTGTCCAAAAATAGGGGACTGACTAAATAAACAGGTATCCAGACAATGGACTATTAATGGAGTCATTAAAAATATCACACAACATGTAATGGCACCTGAAAAGGACCACAGTGTACCAGCAAGTGCAGAAAGCAGGTCACACGTAAAGTGTCTGAACCCATCTTTGTATGTAAAATTGTTTATGGGCACAGAAATATCTCTGGAAAGAAACATCAGAAGGGTAATAATGATGTTTCCTCCGGGTGGTGGGATTGTAAATGATTTTTCTTTTCTCCCTTTTGTTTATATATATTCTCCATAGTACACGTGGACTACAAGTATAAGGAGAAAGATGAAAGTATTTTTTAAAAGGAAGGAGGGTATTTGACTAACAGGATCACCCCAAAGTTGGCAGCAACACCAAAGCTGGAACCCAGGGCTCCTGGCTCCTACTTGGGCTCCTTCTACTACATCAGGAATAACTACAACTGAGGGCCATGGAGGCATGGAGGGCCCCAGCAGGAACCACGACTCTGCTGAAATGTGATTATATAAGTAAGCATGTGTCTGTTCCTAATTCTAGGCAGGAAGTCCACAGCTTCCATTGGCTTTGCCCAAGTGGCCTCGACACACACACATGCACACGGGTGTTGGGGAACTCCCACATCTAGGCACCCTGTCGTGGGTTCCAATGATCTGCTTCACAACTGCCAGCACAGTCAGCATGCGTCTGTTGTTCCTTCCACACAGAGGCCACGAGAAGTGAGGGCAAGGAGAAAGCAGAGGTCAGCTCGGCTCCTACCTGCACTGAGAAGCACGTTGCGGGCCGTCGGGTGCCAGGCCACGATGCCGACTCTCTTTGAGTGGCCTTCTAAAATGACCACGGGCTCAGTCAGGGAAAGGGTGAGTCCGTTTTCTGGGATCTGCCATACCTGTTGGCAAAGGAAGAAAGGTCATCCACATGAAAGCGGTCGGCTTTCATTATCACATTTACTGTGACCATCCAGTGTGAAGCCTTGCTCTGCATAAACAGAACATACAGTGGTCTTTGGATGAAAGGCAGAATGTGGTGAAACACGTACAGCTGTTTTTCAAATGCAGTAGGAGAGCAAAGAGCAGAATATCCATAAGGTCTAAAAATGTTAGACCTCTCTGCTTTTATTTACTATTAGTAGAGATTTTATTTTAAATTCCCTGTTAATGGGGCTTCCCTGGTGGCGCAGTGGTTGAGAGTCCACCTGCCGATGCAGGGGACACGGGTTCGTGCCCCGGTCCGGGAAGATCCCATATGCCGCGGAGCGGCTGGGTCTGTGAGCCAGGGCCGCTGAGCCCTCGCGTCCGGAGCCTGTGCTCCGCAACGGGAGAGGCCACGAGAGTGAGAGGCCCGCGTACCGCAAAATAAAATTTAAAAATAAAATAAAATAAATTCCCTGTTAAGTTCAAAACTCTCCAGTTAGAAGCATACCAAAAAATTGAAAGAAAAATACAAAATGACTGAAGCACCCATGAAGAGACGCATTGGAGTGAAAACCCCTAGCTAAGTCCATGATTCTTGAGGGGAAAGCAAACTCCATCCACCAAACCTTCTTGGGGGGTGGTGCAGTTTTTCAAACATCATATTTTCTATAATTCTACATTGAGAAAATGAAAAGATAGCTAATAGCTTTGTAACATGTACTAAAGAAATCTTCTTACAAAAGAAAAACATTAATTGGACTTCATCAAAATTTAAAACTTTTGTGCTTCAGAGAACACTGTCAAGAAAGTGACAAGACAACCCACAGAATGAGAGAAAATAATTTGCAAGTCATATATCTATCCGAAAAGGGACTTTTTTTTTTTTTTTTTTTTTTTGAGGTACGCGGGCCTCTCACTGTCGTGGCCTCTTCCGTTGCGGAGCACAGGCTCCGGACGCGCAGGCTCAGCGGCCATGGCTCACGGGCGCAGCCGCTCCGCGGCATGTGGGATCTTCCCGGACCAGGGCACGAACCCGTGTCCCCTGCATCAGCAGGCGGACTCTCAACCACTGCGCCACCAGGGAAGCCCCCGAAAAGGGACTTTTATCTCGAATATTTAAAGAACTCTTACAACTCAACAATAAAAGGAAAATAACCAAATTTTTTAAATGAGCAAGGAATCTAGATGTTTCTTCAAGGAAGATATATGAAGAGCAAAAAAACACATGAAGAGCTGCTCAACATTATTAGCCATCAGGGAAGTGCACATCAAAACCACAATAAAACATCACTTCATATCCACTAGGAGTTTGGAATCAAAAAGACAGATAGCAACAAGCACTGGCAAGGGTATAGAGAATTCAGAGCCCTCATACACTGCTGGTGGGAATGAAAAATAGTGCAGCCACTTTGGGCAACAGTTTGGAAGTTCCTCAAATGATCAAACACAGAGTTACCTATGACCCAGCAATTCTACTCCTAGGTACCTACCCAAGAGAAATGAAAACATATGTCCACACTAAAACCTGTACACAAATTTTATAGCAGCATTATTCATAACAGCCAAAAGGTGTAAACAACCCAAGTGTCCAGCAGCTAATAAATGGATACACAAAATGTGATACATGAAGGAATATATGACCACAGAAAGAGATTAAGTACTGACACACACTACAACATGGATGAAGCTTGATAATGTTAGGTTAAGTAAAGAAGCCAGTGATGACAGTCCGCATATTGTAGGATTCATGTATATGAGATGTCCAGAAAGGAAAATCTATAGAGACAGAGAATAGATTAGTGGTTGCTTAGTGCTGGGGGTGGTGGAGGGGTGCAATAGGTAAAGAATACGGGGTTTCTGTTTTTGGGGGGGTTCTTTTTGAAGTGATGAAAACATTCTAAAATTGTCTGTGGTGATGGTGGTACATATCTATGAATATACTAAAGACCACTGAATTGTACACTTTAAATGGGTAAGCTGTATGTGAATTATACCTCAATAAAGCTGTTAAAACCAGATATTAAGTAACATTTAAGTTTGTGAACAGGCTAAAGTTTAAAACAATTATCTTCTTCTGTATGAAGATTAAAATGAGTAAATCTTCTACCAAAAAAGATCTTATGGAACTAGTTCATAACAAATTTAGAACTTGCCAGGGGGAAAAAATCATACTCAACAGTGGAACAAGTGAGAAACAGAATTTTCCCTTGTTGGGGATTTTTAAGGAGGAGACAAACAACTGTCTGTTTTTGACTGCTTGGTGGAAAGGCAGAGTCTGAATTAGGAGTGGTTAAGGTTCAGCTCGGTTCTCTCGTCCTGAAAAAAATCAGAACAAAAATGTTGCCAGTCTGAGGACTGCAGGAAAGTTGTGAATTAAGCGATCGTTCATAAACCTGCCTTCTGAGGGCATAAGTTTAGGACGTCACCCAATTTCCCCTGCACGCTCATCTTTCAGCAGATTTTAAACACGGCAGATATGAACAAGCATGGAAGGCAAAGGGAACCTACCTTGCCTCTCCCAACCCCTCACCCAGACCACTGCCTCTCTCCACCAAACATAACAGACTCCGAGCGTGGGCATCTGTTACCCTCCAGAGCTATCTGTTTGCTTTCACCTATTTTTATTCAAGGGTTTATGAACAGTAAAACTGCTCCACATTGAACTTGGCTATTTGAATGTAAAGCAGGACTGAAACTGTGAATAGAAGGAACAGAAAACAACTACTGGTTTAATCAAAGCACGAAGTCGGCAGAGAAACAATTATGAAACGAGACTTCAGAGACTCAACAGGAAATGCATTTTGCAATATGAATTCCGACTCACGCTTAGGACGGAAAGCGTGGTAATTCCACCTGCCGTCTCCAGGGGGCACTGTGACCACGGGCTGCTGGGTTTTCCCACAAGGATAGTAAAACCTTCACTGCCTGAATGACCGAGATTAAGCAGTGTGTTTTCTAAATCCCTAATGAGGCGTGGAGTGATGGGAGGCTTTGGATATAAGCAGCATTTCCTGTCTTAAACATGAGAGCTCATAATGGGACTTGATCTTTTCCTTTCTCTAGCTTCTTCATGCATCTTTTCCTTGGATGGCGAGGAGATGTTAATGATGGAACAAAACGTTTATTACATAATTTTAAAAATGAGGAAACTCTCTGTCCCTTTCTTTATCTCGCTTTTGGCAGGTTCCATGGTTCCCTCAATGAGGCTTGTGTGTTCCGTCCAGGCACCTCACCCATCTCACTACCTCGGTTACTCACCTGTGCGGCACTTTTCTTGAATAGCCACTTAACGCAGGCCCATTACCAGGCAAGTGGGGAAGGACAACTAAACCCAGGTCCCGCTCTCAAAGGGTTTACGGTCTAACAAAGCAGAGCTGTCTATGAGGCCGAAAGTCAAAAAGACAGCAAAGACAAGCAGTTGGATGGAGCATGGGCTCTGGAGCCAAAGAGACCCTGGTTCAAATCCTGCCCGGGCCTTTTACTGTGATGGTCCTCGGCAAACAGTTCAACATCATTGCACAGAGAAGCATCAGTACCTGTGCTTCCCAGGGCTGCTGTGAGGACTGAGTTAAGAAAGTCCTGGAATAGTGCCTGGCACACAGTCTGTGCCCCCAGTACGGTGCAGGGGTGAAGAATATCCTGATTCTGCTACGTATCAGCTGTATGACCTTGGGGACATTCACCTAACCTATCTGGGCCTTGAGTTTCCTCGCCAATAAAATGGGAGTAATAATGAACCTGCCCTCACTGGGGTTGTCTGGAGACCGATGTGGTAACATGAATCTAAAGCACTTAGATGGGACTTCCGTGGTGGTACAGTGATTAAGAATCCGCCTGCCAATGCAGGGGACACGGGTTCAAGCCCTGGTCCGGGAAGATACCACATGCCGCGGAGCAGCTAAGCCCATGCACCACAACTACTGAGCCTGTGCTCTGGAGCCCGCGAGCCACAACTACTGAAGCCTGTGTGCCTAGAGTCTGTGCTCTGCAACAAGAGAAGCCACCGTAATGAGAAGCCCTCGAACCACAATGAAGAGTAGCCCCCGCTCGCCGCAACTAGAGAAAGCCTGCGCGCAGCAACGAAGACCCAAAACAGCCAAAAATAAATAAATAAATTTATAAAGAAAAAAAAGAGATGGAAAGGGAGAAGGAAGGAAGGAAATCAACGATCCAGTTTCAAAATAAAAAACACAGATGGCAGAGAGCAATTTTCTAAAGAGCTGATGCTCCAAAGAGGCTGGCTGAGGGGCTGACAGGAAAAAGTCACCAGAGTAAGAAAGATAACACCGGCATGAGGATTCCCAGAGGCAGGGGAGAGTGACCAGAAAAGCCTGTACGATGAAATGCAAAGACAGTGGCATTCCGGCCTCTGTGGGGAGAAAGGCGGCCTGTGGGGAAGGGCCGGCACATCTGTAAGTCCTTCCACACGAAGCGGACACAGCCCTGCTTCGGGCCTGCTGGCCCTGCTCACAGGCCTGTCAGTACGCGGCTCTCTGCCCTCTGTAGGGCTCTCTGCTGCAGCCGGCAACGGCCTTCCAGTTTGGACTGGAGAGGTTGCAGAAGTCCCATTCGGTCCCTGTTTAGTTTTCTTGTGCATAACCTGGGATGCAGCCTGGTGTGGTGGAAAGGATGCTGGCCTGGAGCATCAGAAGACACGGTCTCCACCAGAGCTGGGACACTAACTGGATGTGTCAGCATTAAGAAGGGGCCTCACTTCCAGGAGCCTTGATTTCCTTGTTCCATACGGAGGACAGCAGCGGCTCTGCCTCCTCAGGGGTAAATGCAAAGGTCAAATGAGCTGATACATTCTGCACCCCCAAGCACTACCCGAATGTGAACTACTGCAAACGGGGTGACCTTTGACAAAACTGTCACCCCCTGGGCCTGCGTTTCCTGAGTGGTAAAATGGGACACACTCCTGCCTCACTGTGCTGTTAACAATGGTTAAATATAATCACCACATAAACGCTTAAAA